TCTGGACCACACAACAACACCCTCGAGCGCATTATACCAACGAGATGAGAGATGGCAAGTGCCACGATTTTGTCCTTCGGAGAAATGTGCAGTGGGCCAGGCATCCAAGATCAGGAAATTACCAGAGCGGTCGGGCGCCGAGTGGCCTACAGATGCTTCGGTCCTATGGCCAACCGAACACTGGACATGGGTAATTCACAGAGGTGCTCCATTCCGATAGCGGCCAAATTGGGGAAGGTCTACTCATAACCTAGGGAGGTAGTGAACCTGGAAAAGAGACTAACGCCTGGACTTGGAACGGTCAATCTCCTATCTGTTACAGCACGTTAGGTGACCGCGTCATCGCTTCCACCACTTACTGTGTACACTCACCGTTTTCATACCCAATCCAAAACTCTGAACCGTCTCAAGAGGCTAAAGAAAAGAAAACGAGACACTCTTCCCGTCTCAGCCACCGCCTTCGGACGTGATCGTTCATTCTCGAAAGCTTTCCTGTTCTCACTGCCGCGCAAGGCTCCCGAGCTGAGCAGGATCATGAAGATGTTTTGGGCCTGGTAGGCTCAGCTTCGCTAGGTGCATCGAGGGTGGTATTCCGCACCTTCCGGGGACTTATCTCTTCTGAGCCGACGATCGGAGGCCTGGTTGGCCAACAGTCCTTTTAGTACATTGTTATGTCTTCTTGGCGGCCCTCGCACCGCATGGGCTGAATTATACGAAAATGGCCAAGTATTGGCTGCTGTGTCCTGCATGGAACATCATCGACCTGGAGCGCTGAGGGCTTCGGAGCGACTCAACACCACCCGGCAACCTAGGACAGGAGGTATCAGGGCTATGTACCTGTACTTTCCCTTTCCCAGGACTCCGCATCCAGCCGCTCTCCTCTCAGCCCCTGAAACAAGCTTGCTAATCGCGTTAGGGGGTATCACGATGTGCCGCCAGTAGCATGTCGAGAATGCTAGGTTGTATTAGCAGACACAAAACAAGAGGGCGAGGCTTGCGGCCAGCAGAAGTCTACAAAATAGAACAGTCTCCGGCTATCTGGCGTTGTTGAGATCATCTCTTCATCCTAGCTCCCTATCCACTCCTACCGAGTACTTGCCTCCTCAACCCCTCCCAAACCAAAATGAAGAAGAAAGTCAAGGTCCGCACCACAAGAGGCGGCCACGTCGAGGCCGAAGACTGGACCGAGGACCTCGAGGACGTCTTCCAGGCCGCCGCAAAAGGCAACGTGAAAAGCCTCCGCGCCCACCTCTCCCGCGGCGTCAGCCCCGCCATCAAAGAACAAGTCCTCTTCGGCTACAACCTCCTCCACCTCGCCGTCCTCAGCGGCAACCTCGCCGCCGTCCAGCTCATCCTCCAATACAAGCCCAACCTCAACGCTACCGCCGACGACGGTCAAACCACCGCCCTCGTCCTCGCCTGCGGCGACAACGCCACCAACCAAGGCCCCAACCCGGCCATCGTGCGCCTGCTCCTCAACTCGGGCGCCCACGTCTCCACCCTCAGCAGCCCGGGCACCTACCCGCTGCACGCGGCCGCCGCCTCCTCCACCACCGACGCCACCGTCCGCCTGCTCCTCGCCGCGGGCGCCAGCATCACCGCCCTCGACGCCGCCGAGCGCCAGACGGCGCTGCACAAGGCTGCGTACGGCCGCAGCGCCGCCGTCATGCGCGCGCTGCTGGCGGCGCCCGGTGCGGGGGGGATCGTCAATGTCCCCGATGCCGAGGGCATGCGGCCGCTGCATTTGGCGGTGGATATACCGGATGATTATGATGATGATGTGGCGTATGTGGCGCGGCGGGCGGAGCTGGCCGGGTTGTTGCTGGCGGCGGGGGCCGATCCCAATGTGTTGGGGGGGGAGGGGAACGCGCCGCTTCATGTGGCGATTGCGTGTCGGGCCGGGGCGGTGGTGCGGTGTTTGTTGGAGGGCGGGGCGGATCCGAATCTGAGGGATGGGGATGGGTGGACGCCGTTGATGGGGGCTGAGTATGTGAAGGATAGGGGGATTGTTGCTTTGTTGGAGAGGTATGGGGGGGTGAAGGGTTCTGATGCTGGTGGTGGATGAGGATGCCGAGGTTTGACTGGGATGCCGAGGTGGGCAATGGCCCGAGAACGCCTTGAAACAGGCTATTTCCAAGGAAACCGGATAACTCGGCCGTGGCTCTGTAAAAGATGCGGTCAAAAAAATCCCTCCTGGTTGAGGGGCAACGCTGCCTGAAGGCCTAAGGAGAGTGGGCGGGAAAGTGAA